AATGGTAAGACTAATTTATACTACCTTTGTTAAAGGTAGGAAAGGAAAGTAAGAAACAAGTAAAAAAAAAAAAAAAAAAAAAAAAACTTTCATCCAAGAGAATATTAGGAAAAAAAAAATACAATGTGTTTGCTAGTTCAACATGACTCTCCACAATGGTATGATATTGTCCACTTTGAGTATAAGCTCTCATGGCTTTGCTTTGGGCTTCCCCAAAAGGCCTCATACCAATGGAGATAGTATTTCTTGATTATAAACCCATGATCATTCCCTAAATTAGCCAATGTGAGACTTTCATCCAACATCTCCCCTCGAACAAAGTACGTCTCCCCTTAATCGAGGCTCAACTCCTTTTCTTTTGGAGTCTTAGTCATTTTTTACTATGCCTTCGAGGCTCACAATACTTTGGTTTGACATTTGAGGATTCTATTGACATGGCTAAGTTTAGGGCATGACTCTAATACCATGTTAGTTAAACACGAATCTCCACAATGGTATGATATTGTCCACTTTGAGTATGAGCTCTCGTGGCTTTACTTTGGGCTTCCACAAAAGGCCTCATACCAATGGAGATAGTATTCCTTGATTATAAACCCATAATCATTCCCTAAATTAGCCAATGTGGGACTTTCATCCAAACATTTTTCTATTAAAAGAGAACACTTTTGAAAAGTTGCATTACAATATAAAAAAAAAAAAAAAAAACGGATTTAAGATATAGCCAAACAATGACTAAAACAGCATCAAAAGCAAATGTTTTAACAATTTATGAGAATACCTTATTCTTTTGGATTAGACCCATTTTTTGTTGGTTTGTCAGGTTCGATTTAGCTCCTTTTTGGGTTGTTTTATAGACCCCTTTTATAGGTTATTTTATATTTTTTCATTTTTCTTGATGAAAACTCAGTTTCTTGATAAAAACAAAATTTTTAAAAAAAAAATTACAAGAAGGCCGCCCAAATATAAGTATCTATATTAATTAATTTTCTTATGCAATGAATAAAGCCTTCATTCAAGTCTCTAATTTAACTGTGATTCATTTCATACCAACACACTATTGATAGATTTCTTACTTTAAACGATTCTCCAAACCAAGGGATTCTACCACATTTCTTATCATCCCATATTTTAACCTCATTGGAAACTCACCCACCGTTTCCGACCTTCAACTCTACAAAATTTTCCAGCTCCTACTCAGGGACATGCAAACCATTGAAGATGGTCCTTGGGGTGAAAAGCTTGAACCAAATAACAATCCCCAAGCTTCTGTTCTTCAACAACCAAAGTATTTAGCTATTGGAAAATCGTCTTCGGTCAACACAACCCCTAATACGTGCGATAGCTCTAACTCATGGGAACAGAAGGAAGAGGAAAGAGTTTGAAGAAATTTTGTTGATAACAAAGACCCCCTACGGATCATGCACTAGATCCATCCGGCCCAGAATCCAATGAACCGATGGTTAATCCTCTTTTTTCGGTGATTGGCATAGTGAAGCAGTACTTTATCAGGTTGGAAGAGAACCAAGTCACCAAAATCTCCCTCTTTCTCTCCTTGCCTGCGCCCTAACTCTTTGATGCTAGTGGATCAAAGCATTCAAGATTTCTGGTAAATAGATCATGACTGGCTGGTTACTACAATGCTAGAGAAACTTAAATAGTACGGAGGCAGAGGAGCAGTATCCCTTCAATCCTGCTGGGGGAATTCAACACTTCAAGTGGCTTACAGAAATCACTTTCACTTGGCCTAAATCAAGAGAAAGCCATAACTACATAATTCATTGAACAAAGTGCAACAAGAGGAAGAAAGAGAATCCAAGTATTAGTTCATCCAAATTAGAGAAGGAATCCTGAAATGTTCATTTAAGTCCTAATGCTCATTCAAATCAGAGTAGGAATCCTGAAAAATTCGAACCATAATCTCCAAAAATGGAAAACCCATAACAACATTTATGATTTCTCCGAAGAACTTCAGCTTTGCCTTCAAAAAAATTACCGCAAAAAACATCCCACCTAATACCAAACGAATTGAAAAGGAGCTCCCATCACTTAGCCTCAAAGTCACACTACAACTTCTATATATTTATTCATTTTTCCATGAACAGAATTCCAAAAACTAGATTCCTCCATAGGCGAGACAATGACCAAACTAGATATTCAAGGAAGAGAGCAATTAGAGTACAGCTCAAATTAAAGGGGATTATAAAAATAAAAAGTAAAAAAAACACCCAAGTCATGCCCAGATGAATAATTTACAGAAAACCATGACAACAAACAACACAATTCTTGACGGGAAACTAAAATTCACCTCCTCAAAGGGACAACGAAACGAGACTCGACATCGAATCGAGCGAGATTAGAGCAAATAGAGCGGGAAGGGAGCTGCACCGAGTTCGCCCGCCTATTGGGAGTACCTGGGTCTCTTAGACTCAACAACGGCCGCCGTTGCGTCAAATTAGAAACAGTAGAAGAGCTTGCAACGGCCATGGCAGGCAAAAAACCAAGAGTAATGGAAGAAACAGAGCTCGCAGAGAGCAGATAAAAACACAGCAGCACGAGAAACAGCAATGAAAATCAGACGACGAAGCGTTTGGGGATAGAGTTTCCGGTTCAGTTGAACCGTTTTCTCTTCTCGAACCGGAAAATAGAGAGAAGCGATTGGTTGCAAATCTCTCAATTTTATTTATTTAATTTTTTTTTTAGATTTTGTCTTTCTTTATATGAACCACAATTTTGGATTGGAGGAAGTTTTTTTTTTTTTTTTTAATTATTATTATTATTTTGCTTTTTAAATTAAATTTTCCATTTTATAAATTTTATTTGGGGGAGAATTCACATTCTACTCTTCAGGCGATCAGGAAGATTTCTATACCTTTATAAGGTTGATTTGTTCTCCTTCCCAACTAAGGTGGGAGGTTACAATCCACCCCCTTCAGTGCCTAGGGTCCAGCGTTCTCCTTCTCAACTAAGGTGGGAGGTTACAATCCACCCCCTTTCAGTGCCTAGCGTCCTCGCTGGCACTCGTTCCTTTCTCCAATCGACGTGAGACCCACACCAAATCTACCCCCATTGAGGCCAGCATCCTTACTGGCACACCACCTCGTGTCGACCCCTTTTGTGGAACAGCGAGAAAGCTATCTGACACCATTTGTACCACCAAATCCACCCCCATTGGGGCCCAGCATCCTTACTGGCACACCACCTCGTGTCTACCCCTTTCAGGGAACAGTGAGAAAGTTGGCACATCGTTCGATGTCTGGCTCTAACCCAAATCCACAGTTAGCTGATATTGTCCTCTTTGAACTTTCCCTTTTGGGCTTCCCCTCAAGGCTTTAAAATACATCTGTTGCGAAGGTTTTCATACCCTTATAAACAGTGATTTGTTCTCCTCTCCCAACGCACATGAGACATCACAACCTTACAAACATAAAATTAACGGTTCAAATGTACCACTTAGACTCACAATTGTCGGTTCTTTATATTTAAAATTGATATTATCCAACTTATATATTATTACAACCATTTATAATTATTTTTTAAATCACTGGATTATTACAATATTATTGCAAATAATATTTTTAATGTTATATATCATACATGTACATTTTCATCCTTTATTTTTTTTTTAAAAAAAATTAATGATAATTTCAGAGTTTATTTTAAATTTTTTTTATTTAAAATTAGAAAAGCAAGAACATAATTATGTTTGTTTTTTAAATGAAAAATAAAGAACAAAAAAACAATAACAAAACATAGTTATGTTTTTCTTTATTTAAAAACAAGAAACAAACAAGTCTTAGAATAATAGATTTAAAAACTCTTAATTTTATATTGAATTAAGTAAACTTAAAAAAAATGTTTAATCTGTTTATTAAATCTTTAATATATTCAATATTTTTGAAAAAATTAAATTATTTATACATAGAATTGTGTTTGTTTGTTAAGTTCTCAAATTTTCAAATATGCTAGTCAATTTTATGCTCTTTAACGATAGTTTATAGAGATTAACGATGCATGTATTCTGTTGAACACAATTCTTCGTGAGAAACATACACACTTTTTATTAAGACCAATCGAGAAGATATTATAAGACATAGAAAACTACACACTCTGTGCTTTGTTTTTGTTGGGATGATAATCAGATAGGGTGGAAGGGTATTTATACTCTAGCCTAAGCAATCAATAGGCTCGTATAATTATTGGGCTTGACTCTATTGGAATAGTGATGATATTTTAACATATTCGACACGAAAATTTCTCGAATAAGCATGATTCCTAACAATACCTGCAAAATAACAAATCAACACATCAATATGATGCTTGCATAATGCACTCTAATGCCTAATTAGGCTAAGGTTTGTATTAGCATATCAAGAATTGAGTTTCCTAACGTAGCTAGCACGTAAGTTTTTTTCTCTTTTGTTGATTGACTTAAGATCTTCACCTTAGAAACTCCTCGTAAAGCAACAGGTGCCCATTATACTGTTGCTTTGAGGGCACAAGACTCTTATGAAGCCGACTGTGGATTGAAGCTTTTTCCACCATGAAAGATAAGGCACTAATGTTTCTCTTAAAAGGAAAAAGAGAGATCAATCGTACCCTTTTCTAGACCGTCTCCTAAAGCACCTACTTAACCCGCCTATGCTTTCGGAGCCCCCCATTCATTCAATAACTTGCTTGTGATTGCAGCCATTCCCCGAAAAGGGAGAGAGGAGGGACTCGTCTACTCTTGTTTATGGGACGAACCAAACCATCAGAAAGAGAAAGCCTTTCAGAGAAAGTTTTGTCACTGTTAAAATCGAGAGAGAAGTCTCTAAAACCTCTATGGTCTGGACTTTCACTCACGTCGTCACGTCGTCTGTCCTGGAGACTATTACGCTGAGAACTTGATTACACTTCCTAATAACTCCACCTCTTCTCATTACCTACACACAAAGCCATTTTCCACATGTCGACTAAGGAAGGAAAGGACGAGGAGTTACTAAGTGGTTCGACAAATATGCCTACATTCACTGTAAGGAGCTGCTAGAGCTTTTTATTGACCACAGAATCGATCACAATTATACATCATCTTGAGGTAAAGGGAAGGCGAGTACAGATATATTACATTGTACTCTTATAACACAAAATGGGTAATCTATTTGAGTCGATGTTTAAATGTATTTGTGATACACTAATTCAATTAAGGGATGATTTATTTTGGTTGTGGTAAGCCAATTAACTTCTGGGATGGTGTTTGGTTGTGTCACTCTCCTTAAAGATGCCTGCTGCCATTTCTATCAATCCACAAAGTTCTCATGATCTCATGATAGGCTACCTTCAAAATGAAAGACAAAAAAAGGGTTTATCTCCCTATTCAACTGCCCTATTTTCTTTGTTTATAGATAATAATTTTTCAAACAAGAAAGATTAAAATGGTTAAGGTAAATTAAAGTAGGAAAATAATAACAATATTCTGGAAAACTGTTCAACGAACTTATTCTAAAGAATGAAAGAGAGATAAGAAACAAGTGTTGGGAATCACGACTCTCCACAATAGTATGAGATATTGTCCACTTTGAGCATAAGCTTTCATCGTTTTGCTTTGGACTTCCCCAAAAGGGTTCATACCAATAGAGATGTATTTCTTACTTATAAACCCATGATCATTTCCTAAATTAGACAATGTGGGACTCCCTCTCAACAATCCTCAACAATCTTCCCCTCGAACAAAGTACACTATAGAGCCTCCCCCGAGGCCTATGGAGCCCTCAAACAACCTCCCCTTAATCGAGGCCCGACTCCTTCTCTGGAGTTCTTGAACATAGTACACCCTTTATTCTATACTTGAGCCACTTTTAACTACACCTTCGAGACTCACGACTTCTTTGTTTGACATTTGAGGATTCTATTGACATGACTAAGTTAAGGGAATGACTCTGATACCATGTTAGAAATCATGACTCTCCATAATAGTATGATATTGTTCACTTTGAGCATAAGCTCTCATGGCTTTGCTTTGGGCTTCCCCAAAATGCCTTATACCAATGGAGATGTATTTCTTACTTATAAACTCATTATCATTCCCTAAATTAGCCAACGTGAGACTCTCTCCCAACAATCTTCAACAACAAGAGCCTATAAAACTACGTTCCATAATACATGAACATCACATTCCCAACCATGAAGCTCTTCCCAAGTTAATGGTGAAAAGAAGTATTTTAATCAAATGAGAGAACGGTAGGCGTATGAAAAGGAGATTAACCTGGATAGTTATTGCACAAAGCAAGAGCCTGGACCCCAAGGAGCAGATCTGCCAAGTCCTGATACCGGAGCAGCCTCGATCCCTCTCTGGTTCAGCAAACACCTGAAGTGCGCCAACCTTGCAAAAACTTGATTAGTGTCTTTAGCCAGATTGTCATATGGTGTCCAAAGGCGCTCTGTCACGACATGATCACCGAAGAAGGTTGAAACCAGTCAATTAATGTAGAGAAATTATGAGCGTAATCTAAGAATAGGGGGCAATGGAGCAGGGATAGTACTGTTTTTCTTCAGCTATTCAATTTGGTATTTGAGAATATGGGAATGTGAAACTACATCTTTTTGCTATGAATTACAAAGCATGACATTGCCTGAGCTTTTATAGACCGCTTAATTGAGTACCACAAGAAAAGTTTTGCATAGGGTTTAGGGAATGGGAACTATCATGCACTATGAGCTTTTATAAATTGGATATTGCAAATATTAAAAAATGATTTCATAATGCAAAGTCGTAGATATCAATGTTTTTTATACGAGTATAATAAACTAGGTGAGATAGTTTTCTAATAAAAAGAGAGAGCACACCGCAAACAAATATTGTCCTCTTTGGGCTTTCCCTTTCGGGGTTTCCCTCAAGGCTTTAAAACGCGTTTGCTAGGAGAAGGTTTCCACACCCTTATAAAGAGTGTTTTGTTCTCCTCCCCAACCAATGTGGGACTCTCACAATCCACTACTTTCAAGGCCCAGCGTCCTCGCTAGCACTCGTTCCTTTCTCCAATCAATGTGAGACCCCTACCTAGTCCACCCCCTTCGGAGCCCAGCGTCCTTACTGACACACTGCCTTATTTCTACTCTACTTTGGGGAACAGCCTCCTCGCTAGTACATCGCCCGGTGTCTGGCTCTGATACCATTTGTAACAGCCCAAGCCCACCGCTCGCAAATATTGTCCGATTTGAACTTTCCCTTTCGAGTTTCCCCTCAAGGTTTTTAAAACGCATCTGTTAGGGAGAGGTTTCCACACCCTCCCCAACTGATGTAGGATCACACATAAATTTACAAAAATTTATGTTTTCTTTTCATTTCAAGAGTAGCTTCGTTATTTAATTTGACCTCGAAGTTAAACATCTGGAAAGTAATCACTGACTACTGAGATCTCAAAATTTCAGTTGATCAAGAACATGTTTCTCAATTTATCATGCAAAAATATTAACAAAACAACAATAACGTACCAGCAGCGGCTGCAGCACGAGGCCAAATAGTTTGCTCAATATTTGAGGCATCGACACTTTCGCCCCACATGCATACCTCCCCACCAATGACTAATTTTTGTTGTTTTGAATCAGTGATATTTTTAAGCGGCTCATTTAAATAGAACTTCTCCCAACTTGGGTCTATGTGGTCCAAGTACCAACTATCTTGGTTGCTAACAATGCATCTTAAACCAGCAGCAACAACCTTAGGAGCAACACCAATTCCCAACCTGAAAATGAAACAAACGAACATCAGGAAAAGTAAAAATATGGGATGCCTTAATTATCCATTTCAAGCGATTAACTCTTTCGTTTTTTTTTTTTTTTTTTTTTTTTTTTTTTTTTTTTTTTTTTTTTTTTTTTTTTTTTTTTTT